TATTCCCAGTGGTTCTAGAAATGACGTCAAACTCTAATGGGAATTAAGGTCAGATTAGAATGAATTTCCAGAACATTTTCTAAATATATGAATAATTATGTTTTTAACCACTGAAAGTCAACATATTCAACCTTGTACGAATATTGTCTATGAGTTTATGGATTCCCGACCGTTGCTGCTACCTTGACGTGGTGGTCGGGATTGCCTATCGTGATGAACCAATCGAGCTATGCTGGCTGGAACAATCGTTCCTCAAGGTCCTACCATGCCAGGCAGGTCGTTTGAAGAGCGGTGAGACTAAAAGCAGCAAACCCAAGGTCCGAAGACGACGTCGTACTGCTGACTGTACAGAGGTGTGACAGCAGTAAGGTGTTTCCTTCAGACAATCAGCATGACAGCGATGCTGCCTTCCCACAAGGAGGGGTGGAGTTAGAAAAGGTCGACCCTAAAAATGCACACCTCGCCTTATCCCACGGGTATCCGTCTCCGGCGGTAAGGTTTTTTTTGAAGAACGGAGCTAACACAAAACTACCCACAAAAAGGTCGTGTGTGACCGACTTCAAGCAGTCGTCCCTTGGGCACTGCGATCACGCTCTCAGGTCATTAAGACCACTTTTAACCCAATTTCTTTTTCTAGTACCTCTAGAAGAACCCTTCCACGGTGTGAGCAACCGGGAAGTGATAACTGCCCCCATACCTCTAAAAGCCTTCAAGACCAGTGCTTATGGATTACAGAACCTATTATATGAATGATATGATGACATGGGTGACATGGCTCAGAGTCGACCACAATAGCATAGGTGTATGCTCTGTTCGTCTTCCTTTAAACCATGAGATTAAAACCGCTTCATATCTATCTTTCTTCCTATATCCTTATATCCAATCTTTCTTTTACATATTACCACCACTAAATTGTCTACTATGAATTTGGTGTTCATCTTGTTGTGCTAATGAGGTATGGCAACTTGGACCGATGCATATATGTGCTGGTCCTACGTTGTAGCTGACTGACTAATTGATGATATTTAGCACTATTTTTTAGTATATAGAATAATAAATGAAAATGACGTTGACTGACCGACAAATGAAAGTAGATAATACCTGATTCTCTCCTTTACTGATTAACAACTTTCTATTTGGTTGATAACTAATAATTCCTGACCCTTTTATGAATGATTTGTGCCCACTCAATAAACAAAAGCCTAAAAATTGTTTTCACGTATCACTTAAGAATAGGGATCTGTAGAGATTGTTAAGTCTTTTACGTTCCATCATTGGATGGTATAAATTAGAAAACCAGCAGAAACTAAGGAGTGCCGGACAACTTTTTTACTTTAGTAAGGTACTTCCTATTAGTGAACATCCTCTAGTTCATCATTGACTGAACCTATGACTTTGAAGTTCCGTGGATGGCGTTTAACATTCAAACCACTGAGCATCCGAGTGCCCGAAGATTGACATTTCTAACTTGAATCAGTTCATGTTATCATCGTTTAATATAATTTAAACGACAAATGCTTCACACTAGATATGAGTAAACTCAGCTAGTGATGGTTCCTCACTAGAACTCCTTTTCGTAATTTCTTACTTTTAGATCCCTGAAAAAAAACAGATTTATCTAAAACAGAGTGTATGTATGACAATTTTAATCCTTTAATACATCCTAGCTGACTGTGGCTTGATCTCATCCACTATTAAATTTTCTTCAAAATTCTTTAAATGGAATTAGTATAATTTGATGAATAATAAATCGGTTTTCAGATGGTGAAGATTTGTAGCTCAAGTGAATGATTTTGATCGTGGAGCAACAAAGAAGTAAACAATGACAAATTTAAGGTCAACAAGAACCAATCAACATCGAGGTGTACACAGGAAAAGCTGTGGACCATATGTAGAGAAATTCAAACACTTCACTTCTACCCGAAGTTTGTGCTAATGATGTCGTTCAGAAGAACGATTAAAACTCCACGAACAAACCATCCAGCTCAAAAAACAAAACACTATCAAAATCGGTTTCCATTCTATATTTTTATGGTCCTAAATACGACTGACTTCCATAGATTTGATTATCATCATAAAAAATGTAATACTTCAAAGACAATTATTCTCCTACTTGATTGATCACTGGATAGTGATCAATGTCATGTGTGTCAAGTCCTTCTTAGTACTGATTTAATGCTATCGATCAAGTTGCAATGTGATTACCAGTCTAGGTGGCTCGACACTGCGTGCACTATGTTGGGATAAGATGGTGGTTAGAGGTGGTCAACAAGAAACCCTTGACCCGAGTTTCGTGCTACATGGCACTCATCAGCAAGGTGTACCTGTAATCTTGAGGGAATTGATGCTCCCTGACGAATTAGATCCCGTATCACTCAGCTTCATAGTCAGAGACGTTACCACTGAGCAATTTGACCAGCGACCGAACAACATCCAACTATTAATTTCCATAAAATATAGTCATCATGAAGTGAACAATGAAACTCCTATAGAAATAGATATATTTGATTCTTGATCGATATATTTCTAGGTCACTATTAGGTCAGTAATATAAATGGGTAAACTTTCTATCTTTGTGTCACTCATGAATGACATTGTTTTTCCAGTCAATAAACAAAGCTTGCCTCTTTTTAACTTTCTTTGTTTGTTTTTTAACTTTTTAAATGTACTACTACTACTACTACTACTATTAACAATACTACTAATAAGACTATTATGACTACCACTATTAAAAGGATAGAGAGAAAGAGAGAGAGAAAATGTAAAGTGTGTAGTGTAGTTGTCTACCATTGTTTTTAGTTTTTTATAGTATTTCATTTCCTGTTGACATTTTAAGCTAACATTGATATTAATCTCTTATGACAGCTATCATCAGCTATCGTACATTTGTATATGACTAATTTCTGTGGCGATTTCATCTGTGTATTTCATCCAATACCTTGTAGAATGATTCCGTTATCATGTGACGACTAATATTGATTATTTGGATGGAATATTATTTTTTTATCATAACTAAAAATGGAGTGAATTATTTTGTTGTTTTGTTATTTTACCCATAGTTAACTGTTCTTGTTTTTCTAAGACAATTTTAAGCAAAAAAAAAGAAAGTATGAGGAATATTGAGCTGGGTTTTTTTTTCCTAGTTGAAATCATCAGTCAATTAAAGCTAGACAACCATGGAAAACCTGGAATCACTGGATGGCCGTTTTGTCGTATTATGGGACTCCTCAACAGTGCGAATCCACGATCCTGCACTCACATGATTCGAACTCAGGACCTATCAGTCTCGCGCGTAAACGCTTAACCATTGGATCACTGAGTCGGTATCAAACGATGTTAATGTCCAGCTTCAATCAATCCACGAAGTTGAGCAACCGTTCAGCATTGTCTTCAATGAGTTAATACCTTCCAAAAGACCTGGTTGAAATCCACTGGTTATTGTTTCTCACTAGAACTCCAGTGAGCATATGTACAGGGGGTCCCACAATAGGACGAAACGGTCATCCAGTGCTTCCAGGTTTTCCATGGTTGTCTAGCTTTAATTGACTCATGATTTCAAAAAGAAAAAAAAAGCTCGATAGTCAAATTTACCCGCCTCGTGAGATTCGAACCCAGGACCTACCAGTCTCGCGCCAGAGCATTTAAGTAAGCTTAAAATTATTCTTAGAACTATGGAAGATGGAACCTAGAACTCTCTGAAGAATATCAAAAACAAAGATGGATCGATGAGTCCCTTTTTATAAATTTCGAGAGTGTAATAAAGAAGACGAAGATTATCAGAACTATATGATGATATATATTAGCGTAATACATTTCGAATCAATCTGATCACACATAATATACTTGTTAAGAACATTTATATATAAAAATAAAAGTGTAAAAGGGTGTATACTAAGGTTTATTAAAGTCTTAGCCAAACGAAAATTCAAACCTCCCTTTGTGTATTCAAAAACAATTTGTTCTCACCTTAAACCTACCCTGGTAACATTTGCCTATTATCCAGAATGATTAGGTTTCAAATTTTCATTGTTGAAATCATGAGTGAATTGAAGCTAGACCACCATGGAAAACCTGGAAGCACTGAACGGCCATTTCGTTCCATTATGGGACTCCTCAGCAGTGCGAATCCATGATCCCGCCTCGCGAGCGAGATTCGAATCCAGGATCCAGTAGTCTCGCGCCAGTGCACTTAACCGATAGACCACTGAGTTGTCTGGTATCTAACGGCGTTAATATCTAACTTCAATCAATCGACGAAGTTTGAGCAACCGTTTACCAATTGTCTTCAGTGAGTCGTTATCTCACAACAGACCTGGCTGAACTCTACTGGTCACTGCTTCCCACTAGAACTCCAGTACATGTATCTTGAAGTCAATCACTAGTGAGCATATGATTATAATCAGAAGGGGTTTTGTAGATGTTTCAAACTGTTTTCACATTATTATTATTATTATTATTATTATTATTATTATTATTATTATTATTATCCTTGTCTACTCCTACCCCCCATTTCCAATCTAGTTGACCTTTTATTTTTATATATAAAAGTTCTTAACTAGTATATTATGTGTGATCAGATTGATTCGAAATGTATTACGCTAATATATCATCACATGGTACTTATAATCATCATCTCCTTATTACACTATAGAAGGATGAATAAGTTGTTTTTCAAAAATTTCCTAACCATCAAGGATTTATCAGTTAATATGTTACATATTGTTATTATTAAAATCTTTAAGTTGAGAACAAATAAGAAGTTAGACATTAACGCTGTTGGATGCCGGTTCACTGGTCTAGAGGTTAAGTGCTCGTGAGCTAAACTGATAGGTCCTGAGTTCGAATCTTACGAGGCGGAATCGTGGGTTTGCACTGCTTAGGAGTCCCACAATAGGACTTAACGACCGTCCAGTACTTCCAGATTTTCCCTAGTAGTCTAGCTTCAATTGACTCACACTTTCAACTATGAAAATATGATAACAATTTTTAAAAAAACTTACTTCTAAACCAGCTTCTTCTTGTGTTTCATGATTAAATGCATTTGGTAAATAAGTTAAATTATAACCAATATTTTTACATAATGGTATTTCAATTGGTATACATTTCTCTGGTCTAAGTACTTTATCATTATCCAATGGATTATGTAATGATTGACTAGAACTTAATGGATGATAATTAGATGAACTAGATAGTTTACTATTAGAATTGATTAAATGTTCATTATTCACAGCGCTTACAACATGATCAACATTCTTACGATCATCTTGATGATTATCATGATCATTCTTATCATTAGAATTACTAGGATCTTTATTATTATCAGTTGAATGATAATCTTTAAGATCTTGGGATTTGGATCGTTTAGTTCGTTGAATTGAATTGAAATGATCAGAAACATTATGAATGTTAAGACCTTGATGTTGTCTATTTATATTCCATTTGGATTGTTGAATATGACGATTGTTTCCATGCACAAAATCATTTTTGGGTGGTAAAATACTGATTGCCAACAACAATAAGAAAATAATCCACATTTTTTTATTGACTCACCTGAAAAACAAACAAAATCTAATGAAAATCATGACCGCTTTTTAATGGTCAAATTCATCAGTCGATGAAAGGTAGATCACCGTTGAAAACCTGAAAGTCGTGGTTGACCATTTCGTCTTAGTATGGGACTCGTCAGAAGTGTGCATCTAAGATCTCGCACACAAGACTCAGATCCAGAACTGCTGAGGAACATCATGCTAGGAAGAGACGGTCGATCAGTGCTTTCAGGTTTTCAATAGCAGTCTAGCGTACATCGACTCGTAAATTCAACTGCTAGGAATAATACAATCTCCACAAAGCCCCTTACTGATAAAAATCATTTATGACAAAATGTCATAAGACTGAATTTAGTTTTAGAAAGAAACCAGAGTATAAATAATTGTATCATGAGTATTTATTGTTTCTACGATAATGTTGTCTCCAGTATTTCGTTCTGTTGGTGGTATTCGTTATTGATTGTTCCTAGTTAATGAGCTAGAGACTACAGTACAGTTGGTTCAACATATTATGGAAATAAACAATAGTAAGTACTGAAAAAAACTCCCAGAATTTCCAGGTCCCATGACATGTTCTTAAGCTTTAGAACCATTGGGTATACTGGTTCAACCCTACTTAATTTGCAATTTAGCATGACAATCACTCACATTTGATCAGTTAGTTTAGTATGTTAAACTATAACAAGACTCAATGAGTGAATGAATGTTAGTGTAAACGGATCTGTAGTAGTTGATCGAAATATATCATTATCACTATGATTATTATTACCATTGGTTGTAACAGAGAAATTCTCAGATTTGAATTAGAACAATTGTATCACAAGTAACAAGTGGTTATTTATTCATTCCATTCTTCTTGTTTCTACTCCATAAAATTTTATGTTTTTGTAGTTAATGCGTGTGAACTCCTAACCTTCGGATCACTGAGCCAGCATCTAATGGTGTTAATGTGTTACTCCAACCAATCCACGAAATTGCTCGACCATTCATCATTGTCTAAAGTAGATACCTATCTCTACCTGACACTGATTGAACTCTAGTGAGAAGTCGTGAATTCGTGGAGTCAAATACGTGTAGAGTAGAGGCATTTATCTACTTCAGACAATGGATGAATGGTTTCTTAGCCATTCATGAATCAATGGAAGTTAGATATTCACACCGTTGGATGCCATCTCATTGGTCTAGAAGTTAATCGTTCACAGGGTCCTGACTCATTCCCTATTAACCTTGTTTACTACTACTATTACGGTTACTCTTATCATTATTATTATTAGGAATGTTGTTTTGACTGGAATTTTCTTTTCATTCTCTATAATACCAGAATGCCTGATCTCATTTTCTTATAATAATAAATCTTAATAAACCTTAAACTTGACTATTCTTATTCATCTAACCATCTATCCATCTGTTTTTAGTTAAGAACTTATCCATCTCATATGAAAGTTCACACACACACACACACACACACAAACCCATACACAAACATCTATGCATGAAAGTTAATGCACGAAAATGTATTCAGCCACATAAACAATAAACCATATGGAAGTCTTTATTATTATGATTACCATTATAATTTGATATTAGAAACACGCAAATTCAATGAAATGGAAAAAATAAATAATTTCTTCTACTACTACTACTACTAGTAGTAGTAGTAGTGTTAGTAGTATCTGTCACTTATTCATGCATCACCAAATTAAAATTGAATGAAAGTGTAAACACTTATGCGTATGCATATATACATGGTATGCCAATCAATCTGAGCAAAAAAAGTTTATGAGGGGGGGGGTAAGAGACAAAATAAAATATTCTATACCCTAATGAAACAGTTAAAACAATGATATTTGGAAAAAAAAATTGAATAAGGGAGAATCGAGAAGAGTCAAGTAGTCTTAATCAAAATACCAATGTTATTGCTACTATTACTAGCATTACTCCACCTCCTCCTCCTCCTCCTCCTCCTCCTCCTCCTCCTCCTCCTCCTCCTCCTCCTCCTCCTCCTCCTCCTTCTCCTCCTCCTCCTCCTCCTCCTACTACTACTACTACTACTACTACTAATAATAATAATAATAATAATAATAATAATAATAATAATAATACTCAAAGTAATATTTGTAAAGAAAAGAGGGAAGAAGTTTGGGGTGTGTGGTGGAGATACAGTAAAATAAATGAAATTAAAAATATTTTACACCATCAACAACAAGAACGAAACAGAATGGGGGGGGTAAAGTAAAATTACAAAAATGAAGAACGATAGATGTGAAAACGATAAGTGAAAGAAATGAGTTAAGGAATACAAGACCAGATTCTTATCACCCTCTTTTTTAGTTAACAGTAGCTCCATCACGATAAATAATACTGATTAGATCTGTGTATATTTCTAAAACGTAATAAACATTTAGGTGGAATCATTTTTGATTGTAAGGTAAGTGGAACGACTAAACGAAACTGGTAAAGATCAGAACTTTATAGATCAATGAATCTTTCTGTAACCCATTTCACGATTATTATTTTGATCATATTAATAATATTTATTATTATTACTATTATTTATCAGTACGGGGATTTGTGAAGATTGTAGTATTTTCACAGCTTGATTCACGAATCAATATAAGCTAGACCACTATGGAAAACCTGAACGTACTGGACGGCCGTTTCATCTTATTATGGGACTCCTCAACACTTAACCGATAGACTGCTCTGGCGCGAGACTGGTAGGTCCTGAATTCGAATCTCGTGAGTGCAGGATCGTGGATGCGCACGGCTGAGGAGTCCCATAATAGGACAAAATCAAAAGTACAGAAAAAAACCCAGTAACTACATATATACATAAATGGAGTAGATAGACTATCTTGAATGCAATGAATTGTCGTTTAAGAAGATTAGGATCCTATACAAATCATTCAATTAGAAACATGTTTAAGAATACAAATTGTTGACTAAGTCAACTCGAACAACCTGTTCATCAAAGAGTATGTTTGTTAAATAACTTTTTGTAGAGCTCTTATACTTATGCTTGTGTGTATGTGTTCTAATGTAAATGTTCCTTGTTATACCATGATATATGAAAGGGAGAAAGATATAAATGAAATGGATGGTTAATATGTGATAATATGACATCTATTAGGAGTTTGCATTACTTTAAATGTTTATCGACGAATATATTAGGAACGACTTTTAAAGATTCACCACAAAGCTTGTTAACTACCTTCAGCAAACTCTTTTCTCAAAAGCCCGAGAACAAATAATGGAGAACAGTAATAAAATTATTTTTTTTTTACCTTCTATTACCATTATAGGAATGATCCCAGGACAGAGTGGGTTGGAGAATGATGGTCGGCGGCCTATTCGGAGTAGCAGGCATAAGTAAGTAAGTATAGGAATGATAGTGAGAAGACTATCTAATTATTTTTTTCATATGTCATTTTCGGTATTTTCACACCTCATTTAACGGTTCATCATTTCATGCATAAAATAGATTCATACAGGTTTGTTTTGGTCATCAAAATAAATGATGCCAATCAGCGATTAGAACTTTGTCGCCAACACTGCTATCTTATGCTTAGTGTTATAAAGAGTCTACTGACTATATGAACCACACCTATAAAGATAATGACGACTTGAATTGTTGAATGCATAGCTAATTGTTTATAAGTCGTCAATTATCTTTACTATTGTAATAACAATTAAATAGATACTTTAAATGTAATTTTATCACAGATACAAATAGACAAAAATTCGAATAGTAGCGATGAGGACTTCATTCGTACCCCCACCCCATTAACATTACCCCTAACCAAAAACAAAAAAATATTGACATACATATAGAACTAGATTTATTCATTCATTATCAGATTATCCCCCCCATCAATCTCACTACAAAATGATAGACAGCTGATTATATTGATGATAATAATAATAATAAAGGAAATTTTTTTTCAAAAAAAAAAACTAAAAAACCTGGCAATTAGTTTAATCTTTTTTGTAATTTTTTTAAATTTTATTTAGAAAGGGGGAAACGCCCCGAATATCTGGGCATTATATATACCTAGTTACTGAAATCATCTACCCTGTTTATCTGGCATTAACTATACTATAAAGTTTGTTAAAATTGATTCTACAGTTCCAAGTGTTAGTCATAATAAGTGAATGTTCTTTGAATCAGTTTAAATGTTTATAGTCATCGGCTAGTTAGTATACAATAGTGTCGGTTAGTGTTTAGTTCTGTCTAGTCGACAGTGAATCAATATCGTGGTGCAATGTGCTTGAAAACAATCGAAAAGATATCTAGGATCAAGTTTATATGGAAGTTGATACTCGTTCTCATGGTATATCTCAAAACCTTGAAGAAAGTGATGCTTCCTCTTTGATATCGTTCAACTATACAACTATACTATATATATACTATATATATATATATATATACACTATACAAATAGTACCACGATGTTGATCTACACATTAGTACTGACTAGACAAAATTCGATTAGAATCTACAACTAAACATGGAGTTGAATTCCACTAGAACATCATTACTTTTAAAGCTCTTGCAATGCTTTACTGATAAGTTCTCCACAATAAGTAACGTCATCGTGTGCTTGTTGATCATCGCTTGTCACTTAATCTCAACGTAGATAACTTTAAAACAGCTAAGTTTTTACAGATTTCTAAGTGTGTGTTATCCGAATAACAGTAGTATTGTGGTGTGGATTACTTATAATCACATAAGTAGTATATGGTGATGGTCGGGCATAGAATGATTTAGGAAGAAGATTGATAAAGAAAGAACGGAAACGAAGCGCAATCGGTGTGAAAATGAATGAATAATAAAATCAGAGACTATGGACTAATATTTGCAAAAGGAAAAGCCAACATTCCGACAATTGATTGATAGTTTGCAAATTAACCGTATGTTTGTCAGATTTTAGTGAGATATTCTGTAATTTTGTGCCTAAATACATTCGATTGTCCCTAATTGTCTTCTC